AGAAAAACAAGAATTATGGGTCAAGTGTTGTGGGTTATATGGGAAAAAAGAATGAAAAAGGAATATTATTTACACAAGATTTTGTGTGACACCCTTTGGCTGCTATTTGTTAAAAAAAGTATATTTGTATTATAAAATATTATATTTTTGTTTATGTCATTTTTTATAGTAGTGTATTTTGATATGAAAGTATTCATATATAATGAAGGAAGTATAATTATCTAATTACTTTATACTACCGTAGGTGTTCTGTTAGGTTGAGGTAATCATTAGCTGACAATATTTTTTACAAAAATATACACTATTATTCAAAAATATCATACTTTCAAAATACAATATAGGTAAAAGTATTTAATTTGATAATAAATGTGCGTTTTTATTTATATAGCAGGATGATTGATTAGTCCATCTAATAGTAAAAAAGTGTAAAATAAAAATTTGTTTCTATACAAAATAGAAGAATACTAATTACAAAATAAAGTGCAGCCCACCTTTCTTCTTTCTATGTGCTTTGTATGTATATGTGTATGTATTTGATAAGAAACAATGGAATGATGGATGGAGGAGAATGAAAAGAAGTGTACGTTTCTTTTCAACCAAAATGTGACATCAGTGAAAAATTACTGAACTTTTACATTAAAAATTACTAAGATATATTTCTTAGTGTTTTTTTATTTATTTTAACATTTTTTTTTTTTTGGTTGTGTGTCTATGCTTTTTCAATATAACGTGTTAGGCCATTTGTGAGTGTGAGTGACAAGTCAGAATAATGAATTGGTCCAATCTGGCGATGGAATTTCTTTTTTCCTTTAATTTTTTGTCTTTATTAATACATAATTTTATTTATTTTCTCAGTTATTATTTGCTAATTGGAAAGTATTTACTAGGTAACTCAAAAATGGTACCTTTTTAACTCTTGGTCAAAGTTGGGATATGGTACAACCTTGACCAAATTGGTATAATATTTTTGTAACACTACATTGACAAGTACTTTTAGATAATCATATTTTTTATTCAATATATATATATACATAACTTTAAATTAAAATGTGACTCTAAATAAATACATGATATTTATAATATGGGTAATGCTACATGTACATAAGTGTACATAACACTCACATTGAGTGGGACCTACCAAAAATAAAAATCAAGTGGACCCCACTCTATGTGAGTATTATGTACACCTCTAAGTACATTTATTATGTACATGTAGCATTTTCCTTATAATATATATACATATTTTGTGTTAGAAAAAATATGACCAGATGACACTTATAACAAATAGAATTTATGAAGAATTTATGTTTTTTTGTTTTTGAAAAAAAAAATGGGCATGGAAGGTCACGAGGTGGTACCACTTTGACTAAAGTGGTTCTATGTTTTGAAATTATTAAGTAATTCGAAATTAAAGTGACACAGAATGTGAAATTCTCAATAAGTTCCATAGATCAACACTTCTATTTCAATTTTTCATTACAGAAGTTTCTAGATATTGACATGAAAGCGAAACTGATAAAAGGAAAACTATTTACACTAGAATGAAACTAAAACATTTTAATTAATGAAAGGACAATATTTTATCAAATTTTTATGTTAGGCGAGACTTAGGCCATGTCCAGCCCTTATCTCTACTCTAGCACGGACTTTACTCTATTATAGAATAGAGTTAAACATTCATCTCTAGTCTTTATTTCTACATTTTACTCTACATCAAATATATTATTTTTTTATTTATTTTTTATTTCTAATAAATTGTTATATATATGTATATTTAATCTTATATAAATATTTATTACACAAATAATAAAAATGTATTTTATTTATTTTTATTTCAAATGAATTGGTGTATATATATGTATATATTTAATTTTATAAAAAATGTTTATTATTCAAAAAATAAAATTATAATACATCAATAAATAAAAAGTACAAAATTATTTAACATAAAAATACATTCCACAAAGTTATTTAGAATAAAAATACATTTATTAATACACATTATACAAAAATTTATCATTAATATTACATTAAAAAAAAATATAGCGCAGCTACAGTGTTGGGTCATATCTGGCGCAACACTGTAGCTTTCTCTAAAATAGCGCTAATTTGTGGCACAACATTGGAGAGAAATTTTCTCTACGATAGAGTAAAGATGGACTCTGGCGCAGCATTGCGGAAGCTCTTAATATCTAGGTAGTTATACTTTTTCAATAACTAGACAAAATTCAAACAAAAAATTATACACTAAAAAATAAAATAAACAAGAGTATGATATTTCTATTTGTAAATATACATTTTTATTGATAAAGTACCACGTGTGGACAAATCTAATATAAGAATTTGTGTTTTCAACTTTAAGAAGATTAGTAAATAGAAATGCTGGCAAATTATAAATATTAATCGGATAATGTGTGCATCTTTTATCGAATGATATTACAATAATGCGGCACAATAATTCGTAAATACAATCGACATTGGAGTATGGGAATTAATTAAATATATCAGGCGTGACTTTTATGGAAATATATATAACTATAGGAGATATAATTATTTTCATAATAGCCGGCCTATATATTATCTGCAATCTCCAACTAGGAACTAGGGTCCACGTACTTTCTTTTGGTCACGCCTATATTATTTCATAATCTTATTAATTTAAGTATTTGTGTATCATATATTACCTTTATTTTGTTTTGTCAAGTCACCTTAGAAGCACCAAAATAGATTTTTTTACTTAAAAAAAAAAAAAGAAACAATGAAGTGGACAAGAACAAAACAAAAAAAAAACCTTGTAAAAATAAATAAAAAGCATGTATTCTGAGAATACGTTTTTTTTGTAATTTTAATTGAAAAACGTATTTGCATAATACGTTTTTCATTGAAACACGTATTCTGAGAATACGTTTTCCTTCTCAGAATACGTGCTTTTGATTTTGGTTCAGATTTTTTTTTTGCTTTTATTTGTGTCCACTTGTGTTTTTTTTGTTTTTTATATATAAATTTCCCAAAACCACGAAAATACAGACACAACATGAAAATAATAAGATTTGCGCTAAAAAAAATTCAAATATAAATGGACTGATAATACGCAGATCTAATCTTAATTCTAGCAAACTTCAGGTTAATTAGCCGTTCAAAAAAAAATAACAATATTAAGTAAAAAATTTGGAATCTAAACATACATAACTGTTGATTTTATATATATTTAGATAGTTTTAATTAAATTGGATTATAAAAAATAAGGGTAAAATTTTATAGAATAATTTTGGCTTATATTAAATGTTTCTCATTATATAATAAGAAATTTAATTACATATTTTATAATAAAATAAATAATTGAAACAAAGTGAACAAATACTAAGTTATTTAAAAAAAAAAAACAAGATAAATATAGGTAATAAATTTTTTAACATATTTGAATAAAGTATAAATGAGTTAGCGAGTTAACAGATTAACATATGAGCTAAACTTAATGGACTCGAGTTGAACAATCCGATTAAAAAAAACTCTAATATTAGGGTTGCAAACAAACCGNGTGAACCACTCAGTTCGTTTGCAGCCCTATCTGATATAAATGGACTGAGAAGTTATAGGATCGGAACTATTTCTTCTAGGACCAAAACGAATCGGTTCTATAGGTTTTGACCCATTCAACATTGTGAAACCGTCGTGTATAACAACAACAACAACAACAACAACAACAACAACAATAATAATAATAATAATAATAATAATAATAATAATAATAATAAATAAAAATAAGAAAAAATGTGAGATTTGGGAGTGGAATAAATACAAGGGCATAGTTGTAAATGACACCTGCTCATTTTATTCTGCTACCTGAAAAGATCCCAATTCATTCCAATAATAATAATCATAATAAATAAAAATAAGAAAAAATGTGAGATTTGGGAGTGGAATAAATACAAGGGCATGGTTGTAAATGACAGCTGCTCATTTTATTCTGCTACCTGAAAAGATCCCAATTCATTCCCATCCGACGTATCATTGTTCGAGCTTTGAAACGGTGCTGTTTCTCTTTTTCTCAGACAGAGATTACACACAGAACCAATCTGCAGAGGAGCCTGAGTTGAAGGTATTTTTCATCTTATTCTTGTATTTTTTTTTTTGTTTTGTTTTTCCTTCCGATTTTTTTATACCTAGTTCTAGCAGCAGTTTGTATTTCTACTTATTTTGTGGCATTTTGATTCTATGATGTATTTCTTTTTTCTTTTTTTTAGTCGATTTCGTGGTCGAAAGCATGTCTGCATGATTGTTCGATTTACCTGCAATCGAAACAGTTATTCAGTGGCTTGTATTGAGATCTACCAGGATATAGCTCATCTCCAGTAATTGTGAAAGTTTACACAAACACGTGTTGTTGAATTCGCGGGAGTCAATTTGTTTGTTTGCTTTTCTTTTTTTTTTTTCCTACTTGAATTTCAGATTTACGTTTTTGTTTGTTTTGTGTAGTTGAGCTTGTTATGAATCAAAACGGATTGAATGTTTTGTTGAGTAGATTAGAGGTTTGGATTTGAAAATTGAAATACTGGAATATGTATTGCTTTACATTATACGTACATCACTACTCGAAGAAAAATGCATGCTTATGCTGATAGTGATAGATAAGATTAGGTGAGAGAGTTTCAGATATATTAGATGACTATGCGTTCGGAAAATAAGCTGAAGTGTTTGATACAGAAGCTAATAGAATATAGAGTTTCAGTGCTATTTTTTGTGAAGAATGTTGAAGTAGCAGTGATTAATGATTTGGAGGGATGTCTTAGTCATTATTGATTATACAGTGTTGCCGAGTCCACCACATATAATGTAATTCATTTTTCATATTCAATCAAACATGAAAGTAGATTCGAATTTCTGATGTACTCATTGCCCTTTCTTCATCCTCTATAAGAATTTTGAAACTTCAGGTTAGGCATTTTTGGGAAAGCTGAATGTTTGACTAGGGTGTAGATATCATATCATGTGAAATTATTACTTATTCTTCTGCATAATCTTGTTTTGTTATTGATTTTTTCTTTTGACCACTGTTCGGGACCGTGTTCTGCTGTTTTTGTAGTATTTTTCTCATTATTATTGTTATTATTTTTTTCTGTAGACGTGTGTGGGAGGGAAAATGTCAGGCACCGAGGAAGTAAAGGAGCAAACAGAAGTTGTAATGGAGAATGCTGACAAGCCCACACCATCAACACAACAGGAAGTTGTATTCAGTATTCTTCGTGGGATGAGTTTTAATCATTTCAATATTCATAAAAGATGTAATGTTTTTTCCCTGTAGGAGGAAGTTATAAAGAAAAAATATGGTGGGATAGTGCCTAAGAAACCACCATTGATTTCTAAGGTACAGTTACAAGCTCATTCTTTCTATTGGAAGTCTTGAGGATTCTTCTGAGGAATTAATTTAATGTTAGGATCATGAACGTGCTTACTTTGACTCTGCTGATTGGGCCTTGGGAAAGGTTAGCACTTTTATTGTTGTTTGTTTTGTGAATTCGAAGCTTTTAATAAAATAATCAGAAAACTGTGATATGTAACTTGTTGTATATTTGTTCATGCTTTATGCTGCAGCAAGGTGCAGCAAAGCCTAAAGGACCACTGGAGGCCCTCCGGCCAAAGCTACAGGTAGTTCTTAATAAGTTAATTACAAGGAATTTTATCTACATTTCAAATTCATATAGCTCTATGGTTGCCACTTACTTCAATTTTCTTGTTGGTCATAACATGGTGGATTTTTCCCATGTTATTTGTTAAACCACTATATATTTACTCTGACAGTTATAGATTCCATTTTTGGTGTTTGTGTAATTTTCTTGATTACAAGAATACACCTCACTTTACAATGGCAGTGTCACAAATAGCTTGACAATAATTGTTGACCACAACCGACATGTCACCAACATCTTACCGGAAACTTCTTATTGAACTAATAGAGCTTTATGTATATTTGTATGAGAGGGGGAGGGGTTGGGTTATTGTTAGAATGAGTCTTTGCGTGAGAAATGAAAACATGATACAGATATGCTCAATAGAGTTATTGAAAATGCATGATAGTGATATATGGTTGACAAATTCATTCACTTACCTAAGGACCCATTCTCATATGAACAATATATATGGTTGACATTCATTCTCACTTACCTAAGGACCTACTTTATATAAAGTATATATATATATATATATATATATATACGTGAACAGAAGAGGTGCTTCTCATTTCCTTGTTGGGTGTTCGAATCTGATTTTTGAGGTTATGCATGCATTGATGAAGTTACATGAATTAATTGTCTACGAAGAGGTCAGACGTCCAAATTACTATTTCCTGCTTATTTCCTTGGAAACCAATAAGTGGAAACCGAGTCACTAAATTATGTTCTTAATGGTCCATAATCCATATGCCTTGTATTTCTTGTGATAGTCCATTGAGCCTTCGACCCAGATAGTTGCATTTTATTATTCCTTTTTTTCCCCTCTGGTGACTTATTTCTCTCATATTCCCTTTGATTTTTCAGCCAACTCAGCAGCAAACACGTTACCGCAAATCTCATTATGCCCCATCAGAAGGTGAAGGTATTTTTCAGCCTGGTTCTAAATCTTTATTTAGGAGCATGCATCTTTTTACGTTATAGTATATTTTGGGTTGGTTTCTATCATCTTATTTGTTGCTTGCTTTCTTTAATGGGCTAAACATGTGATGTAATGTAAGTTATATCAGTGTTATCCGATCAAGAAATAGTAAGGAACTGGACGGCCTGATATTTTAGTTATGATCTCTTACTCCGAGTGAATAACTATTTTATAATTGCATGAAAGTATTTTTTATTTTTTTTTATTTTTTGTCTGCTCTACTGGCTTATAGATGGAAATGGAACCCAACCCGAAGATATGACTGCCAGTGAATGAGAAGAATATGTTAATCCTTTGATCTTGGGAAGTAATTTTATGCTGAAAACAAAAGTGTGCAAGAAAAAAATGTTTTAGGACCATAAGGAAGAACTCACCTATATGTTTTTACTTGTGCTGTATGTCCCCAGATTTTTGGAAGTCTTTCCTGGCTTTATTCCTGTTGTAAACTATTTTACTACTGTTTGTCAACTCTGAGTTCAGAAGTTGTTGAGGTTTACAAGCGTAAATTTGAGATGTCAAACTATTTTCATCGACCATTTTGTGTGATGGGTGTTTATTTTGTTCAAGTTCAAATTTTTTCAATGTTAAATTTGCTTCAACTATTTAATACCTTGTTTTCCGTTGGGCTGCTTACCTTTTTCGATCTGCGTATATGTTAGTCATGGAAATTCAAGAATATCGTCCTAATCTTTGTACATGAAAAATACTTGATGTCCCCCATTTTTGAACAAAAATTCAGCTGTGTTCAACATCCTTTCGGTTTGCATTTCCGAAATGAATATCCTTTGGATGGTGTGATAACAAAGTAAATTATGTCGTGTTTGAATCTACTTATAAAACCACAAAACTGTTTGGAATCTAATCATAAAAACTCAGGTGTGTTTGTTTATAAATAAATTTAATTCATACTCAAAATCTAAGTCAACTTTAACACAATTTTACTATCTTCAATATTATCATATAATTAAATAATATCAATCAATCATTCTTACACATAACATCAACTTTAATTCACTCACATAATCTGATAATCACTTCACATCATCTCTATTTTATTTTATATCAAATCAATTTTAATTATATTTTATATTATTTTAATATAAATCTCTGCTGGCCTGTTCTTCGAGCTTCCTTGAGGATTGTCCATCATTCCAGTTAGTCGGAGTCAAGGAAGCAATCTAGTCAGTGAGCAAAACCCGTTTTGAGCAAATATATTTTTATCCAAGTACGCCATCAATTTGTGTTTTCAAGTAAGTTTGTTTCAAGTACAAATTTTCAGATATTGGGAAGGGAGTTCTTCCACGGCCACGCATAACCAAGTCTTAACAGTCTCAGCAAAATTCGAACCACCATGAATTGAGAGAGAGAGAGAGAGAGAGAGAGAGAGAGTGAGTGAGTCACGAACTATAACAAATGCATACATGTATATATCCATCCATAGCCCGTCACAAGCCCTCACATTTTTCTCACGTAGTCTCATTAAACATAACCCACAAACTGAAAATAAACAACAATTTTCAAGCAAACGGGAGATATGTGGCTGATCAATTTGTTTGTTTGTTTTTTCCCCCTTTTCTACTTGCAGTTTGATCCCATTTTTCAGAGATGGAACATCGCGTGTAAAACTGTGTGCCACTATCTGTACCGGAATCCCATGTCTAACTCATAACCACGCATCATGTCCGGGTTATGAATTGAGGCGCGTGGATGGGTTTGCTTTGAGTTTGCCCGTAGTTCCATTTCTACTAGCCTCTGGAAAGCCTCGGGCGGATTACCTGCAGAAATTAATATTGGAGCTCAAATGTAATGATGAAAATTGATAATTGACATTGATATTACTACGGCTTAATTATGATTGAAATGAGAGATGCTGAGAAACGTGAGAGTGAATGAATAGCTGAAATTGTCGTGCATAATGAATATTGCTTGGACAAAAAACAAGTCGGTTAACAATATAGTTCCTGAAAATTCTCCATAACTGCATGTCAGGGTAAAAGAAATTCTAAAGTGAGATAAAACTGAACATCATTCTATATCCAATGGTCAACATCGTTCGAAAACCTAAGGAGAATTTTATATTATTTTTCATGTAAATGGAAACTCTAAAAATGCTAGTAAATTAATGTATTTAAGTTGCTAAGCAGCATCTAATATTGTTTCTCTCCCATGTCTAACATAGCATTCTCAACCAAAGAAAAAACAAGTTTTCACACTTTTTACCTGATATCGGAAGCAGTAAATTATACAGTTTTTACCTGATATCGGCATCCCACGGCCATCAGCATTTTGTTGGTGGGGCCCAAATGGAAAACCTTGCGCTTGGTTCATATCTGGGAAAACCCCATTTCCTTGGTTACCATGCTGTGGGCCCGGAAAACCCCTCGGGAAATGCGGAGTGTGATTACCCGGCATTTGCATCTGATGCATCAACGGATTCTGGGGAGGAATATCAAATCCCGCAACCCTAACATTTGGGTGTTGAAAAGAAGGCCGGATGATATTTGGAGTAGTTTGAGTATTATTTGAGAGAGGACCGTGATTCAAAATCGGATCAGAGTCCAAGAACTTCGACTGAGAGCCCATATAAGCAAGATGTGAAGAATTCACGTGATTATACGGTAGGGGCCTTGCATGAGGCATTTGTGGGGTAGGCTGAAATCGTGGTGAAGATTGCTGCAACTGCATATTGCGATAAATTGCAGGATCCATCTTTTGGTGGGAATCGAATAATGGGAAGGGAAGGCTTCCGGTACTCTCCATGCCAAGTTTCTCTTTTATGTTGATGGTTGCATTTGAGGATATGCTTGAGCTGTTAACTGAGTATAAGTTTTCTTCTGGCAGCTGAAAGTCAAACCCCTTGGATGGAATTTCTCCTGTCGGGAGATTACCAAAGCCCAGCCAGTTCTCGTTTCTGCTCGTTTTTGCACCGTGTGTGTCCGTGGTGGGAAAAGGTAACCCATGAGCCTCTGAGGGATTATCAACCCAAGGCCCAGGCCCAGGCCCAGCTGAGCTTCTTTGGACAGAAACAGGTGCTTCGACTGACTGTAGCTCTTTCATAAAAGCACTTCCAAAGAGTGTTTCAAGAGTGAGTGTCCTCCCCAAATTTGGGGCCGACGAGTTAATATTTTCTTCTCCTTTATGTTTGTTGAACATTTTGGTAAAGTCGTGTTCATGAGAGAGTAACGGTTTTTCGGCTGGATTAATATCAGCAATAGTGTTTGCAGTTGTATTGCTCTGATCTGTACTCTTCTTCAACATAGAGAGTAGGTGTAGAGATGCGTGATTGTCGACATGTGTACCTGGGTTTTCACCATTTGCATCACTAGGGTTAGGACCTTCTTCTACAGAGGGTGGCACATCTGTAGTTTTCACACTGTACTCTGATAAAATTGATTGTTCAAGGTCTTCACATGTTAGTATGGCTGGAACGGGAACTGCTTCCTCTTTGTGCTTGATGGGTTCTTGGTCAGATGATCCATTAGCTGCAGATGACTTGTCAAGCTTAATCTTATTACACTGTTTAAACATATAAATATGGAAGATACCGCTGATGTATAGTTTAGGTACCGGAAAAAAAATGTCTACCATTACAGATAACTCTTGATACATGTTCCTATTTTGTAAAAAAATAAAAATGCGACCTCAATAGGGACTAGGGGGTGCTTGTCTGGGAAGTAGAAACATCTTCAATGCTTTTTTTCCGTAATTAAGCTTTTATGCAATGAGGCATGTAAGGGTAATTTATGTAATTATCTTTACTTAACGTCTGATAGGATAAACCAGTATGAAGAGCTATGGTGCTATGGCATAAAAAATCAGAATACTTGCCTTTATCACCACTGACTATTAATGACAGTAAATCATTTGGCATTGAAGATGACACATCTGTGGTAGCATTTGCTTCTGTAAGGATGTGATTGTCAAAATATTAGAACCATACCAAGAGTAAGAATAGTTTTGAGGACATTCTCCAAGGCTGTACAGTAAGTAATTTTACCTTCTTCCAGAAACCACTGGGCAAATTTTGATGACTTGGCTGAATTGGGGCTCCATGTTCCCGATGTATCTTTGGGTTTACCTTTATAATGCTGGATAAGAGCAAATCAAATGAAGTTGTTACCAAAAACCACAAACAGTATATACATATCAGAGATAAAACAGAACAAACTATCAGGAAAGTTCTCTGCTTATTACTCATTCTCTCATCTCAATTTGGACCTCAACAATACCAGGTGTGGACAAACCCCTTCAACTTCAAAGACCAGTTAATGTCATAAGAGAGAGAAGCATCCATATTTCAGAATTTTATGATCAATTGGCAGATAAAATTTGACATTCCTTCTTAGGAAATAAGACCAGATTCAATGACACATAACAGGAATCACTGAAGACTTCACATACCTCAACAGAATTAGACTGACTATCTTCCAAGGATAACGTGCTACCAAGTATCTTTTCCAATATTGAAGAAGAAGAAATTTTGTTTGAAACCGAAGCATTTTTGTCCTCCAGTATCCCAGCATCCAGTTCAGCAATAAAAGGGTGTTCAGCAATAAAAGGGTCACCTAAAGTTGCATGAGTATCTTGATAGAAAGTTTGAAATAATTGATCTTCCTTCCCAGATTTCTTAGTAGGCACGTCTAAACTAACATGTAGGTTTGCATTTTCCCCTTTGTTCAAAGGAAGTGCAGGATGCATATTTTCTGCAGGCAGTCCACCATCAATTCTAAGCCCTTGAGATAGGCATTTTCCAGTGCTGCTATTAGTACTTGGAATAATATGTGCATTGGAATCTTCAAGGCTTTCCACAGTTGCTGATTTCCCCACCTGTAAAAAGCACATGGTATCTAAGCCTTTCAAACAAAGAGTAAGTTTCTTCACCAAGGGATTTGATGACCAGATATCCAAACAATGTAGGAAATCGATAAGAGAGTGTTTGGATTTACCAGCAGTAGATCAGATACAAAATATAACACTATTCTATATGCCACAGTTCATATCCCGGCAAAAGTACTGCAACGTAGTAGAAGGTAAAGATTCACTTAAAGGCCACAAATTACAAAGTTATAAAAGCCAACTAGCTACCAGACAAAATTATACAATCTGGGTGGACTAGGTTGAAAGCTGCTCCGTGTCAGGGACATAACCCATGTCAGATAAAAAGATTAAATGCACCCTTTAATGTAGTGCCTCAATCTTGTTGTGGCATTCTTCCTATCTCATTTTTCTTTTACCATGGATTTCACTGATGTTGAGTAGGGGGACCGGCAGGCAGCTGGTAGAAGCTTGCTTAAAAGAGCCATTTGTTCCTCTCAAGAACAACTAATTTACAAAGCATATAGACCCATGATTCCACATTATTACTCAGAAAGGACCTTATATAAAGAAGAGTAGAATGTAATGAAGCTCTTTCTTATCAAGTAACATTCACGTAATAGAATGGTAATGTTATACTGCATTAGTCATAGTTTTTATGACAACATCACAGATATATACTGCAACTGCATTCATGCACCTCCAAATAAGTAACTCCACCAAAAGAATTTTACAAATTAAGTGCAAGCATCAAACCTGTGACAAAGGAGGATGCACCAGAGATTTCGATCCAGAACTCTTCTCGATGGCATTGCTTTTAAAACCAGGGGGAACTAGTGGCCTGGATGCAGGAGAGTGCGAGGCAAAAGAAGATTTATCTAAGTCATTGCTCAAAATGGGAATTCCCTCCGAAACCTCCAACTCATTATTCCTTTCAAGAAGTTCCTTTTCCTCTTTGCTGTCTGCCAAGTCTTTGCAGGTATCCATGATAGCACTACCTTTGTGCTTCTCCAGATTCAATTTTTGCTTCTCCTGAAGGGTCTTCTGTTGTTCCTTTCTCATCGTCTCAAAAGAGGCTAAACAGAAGTTATTTTTAACAGAGACGCTTAAATATAAAACAACTGATATAGCAATCACACAATGACCCTGACTAGAATCAATAATACCTCTTCTTCTCTTTTCCGCCTCTGCTCTATCCTCACTAGTGCACTCCATGGAACCAAAAGTTTCATCATTGAGGGAGTCGGTGTCTCTTCTTGAATGAGGTACTGCCTGTTAATTTAAGAGTCGTGAGAATAACATCGGCAGACACTTTCAAATAAATAATGAAATTGAAAATATTAAAGAAACTAAATAAAATGAGTGAGGCACTTGAAGTGAGTTAGTACTTCTTATCCGACCTTGTAAGGGCGTGGAGGATGATATGGCTCATTGCTCCTGTTAAGCTGGCTGTGGTCATTTGCCCGAAATTTTGGAGCAGGAGCCCCAGATGCATATCCGGATGGTCTTGGAAATGAACCACTTCCGAGTAGTCCATCATGTTCGGGACTCTGCCAAGTCCGTCGAGTTTGATGGCCAAAGCGCCTCCCAGAATCTATAGGAGAATGAGTAAGTCATGTAACTAGAGAGCACGGCATACATAAATGAGCAGCAGAGAAGAACGAACAAACTAAAAGGAAACCTATGTACAGGAATCCCAAGAAGCATGATGGAAGAAGTAATTTACATATGGGGAAACAAAAATCACTTCCATGGAAATTTATTTACAAATGGATCTTCAGCATTTTGCACAACAAACCAAGATTTAACTGATACTAGTTGAATAAGATCCCAAAAATCCTAGCAACCCGTATCAAAACACAAGCAAAATCCACGAAAACAGAAGAATGCCCAGAAATTTATATTTGGATTTCAATCCTATCCTTTTTAATAGACATCCCAAGCAAGCTTATGCTAATGATTAATAATTCTTAATATAATGCGGAAAACTAAGCCAACTCAAAAATTGAACTATAGGTCAATCAATGATTCCAAATCAAAGGATGTTGAACCTAACCTGAATCCTTGTCAGACTGGGAATCACTGTCTCGATCGCTCCTCAAAGAAGAACGGCTATCCCATTTTCCATGAATGCCCCTAGAGTAATTACCACTGTCCCCTCGAGTAGGTGGAGACACGCCATACTCACTTCTTCTAAAACCATGAAATGTTCCCGGAATTCTTGGTCGATCAGGTTCTCTTATCAAGGCATCCTCCAACTCACTGTACCAAAACATACTTAAAAATTTAGACAGCTCGGCATAAATTTTAAATATTTTAAGCTTTATTCATTCGCATTTGGATATGTCGTTGGGTGATTCTTGAGTACTTCTTTATGGTTTTACCTTGACAGTGACTCAACAAACCCGCTGGGCAACTTCTTGCAGGAGTCCAAGTTACTCAAAGACAACAGGAACTCTCTTGAATAGGATATTTTGAGCTTCCTACATCATCAAAACAAACCTTCCATCATGATTCATGCACCAACAAAATATAAAACTACAAATGAAAACAAGGCAGACAAAGAGGGAAGGTATTTTACTTTGAAACATCTGAATTTTCAGAACCCTTATCCAGGGACCTTCCATCTTCGTTCTCTGAACTCATTCTTCTGTTCTGAGTAAAAAACAAACTTCCCCCCACAAACAAACAAATGCAATCTACAAAATCACACAAATATCCCCACCCAAACCCGATCACCGTGAGTATCGAAAAAAAAAAGCAGAAATTTGGATTTTTTTTCCCCAACCCAAATGAAAAACTAAACTTCCACGACTTCCGAAAACTCTAGCTCTATCAAATTATTGAGCCGATCCATACATACTCAAGTCAAATGCTGAAATTCGAGCTAAAATTCACTAATCAACCCAGCTCAATCAAACCCCACGCCGTAATTCCAACAAAAAAAATAATATACAACTCTTGGAATTAACCCTCATCCGCTGCCCTAATCCTGAACTACAACTTCAAATCTCGAGGTTTCCATTTGATAGATCGAAAGATGAAAAAAAACGTAAAGGGAAAAACCTAGGGCACCATTTTTTCTCATTTCCTAATATCCGATCAATCAAGTGTTTGGGAGAGAGATAAAATCACGCCAACATATGCATACTTTCTGCAGCCATGAAAGGCTTTATATACACAGATGAGCTTGCAGGTAACGAGTATGTATATGTATATATATCTCGATTTGCTTGCGAGAGGGAAGAAGAACGATGAGAGTGAATTTTTGGGAATTAAACGATGGAGAAAAACATCTCAAGCGACTTCCGGAAATGGGGATCGTATCACGCTCTGGTTCAATGAGTGGTGACACGCGCCGACCGCTGTTGCTTGCTCTCTCCATTTGTTGTAGCTCGTGTGATTCAAATATGTTCGCTGACGCGTGGGGCTGGGTCGGTCTGTATTAAAAGTCTACATTTGGTTTCATTTTATAATTTTGAAAAAATCATTGGTTCATAACTTTATTATATATGATGTAGACAATTACAAAACAAGTCTTTGTAATTTGCATTTTCCAATTCTTTGACCAAGTGAGGTTGTGATACTGCAAATACAATATTAGGATAAAGGACCCTTTTTTTTTTTTTAGTTATATTCAATAATAATTTTATTGATTTTTGAGTTTGTTTAGGGTGTGATTGGATAATTTTAAAGGACTCAATTTAAACTTAATTCCACTATTTTCAATATTATTAAATAATATCAACCAATCATTCTTACATATCATTTCAACTTTAATTCACTATTCATTCACTCTCATAATTTTAATTGGCCATCATTTCTAAACATTTTTCTCCTACTTTTACATCAAAATCAATATTTATTATTTTATTTTAAATATTATTTTAATTTAAATTTAAATTCCCATTAATAACTAATCATACTATTTTTTTTAAAATTAACTATAATTAAAAATAAACAATAAAATCAATATCTAACATACCCTTAATCACATCTCATTTTGAACTTAAAAAGTGTTTTATAATCCAATTGTGCATTGTGCTCGTTACTTATGAGCATTGAATTTATGCATCTATATATATATAATTGCTAGCTAAGCAATAAATTTTACCTAATAAATAAAACCTAATAAATTTTACCTATGTGGCAAATCATTAATAAAACCTAATAAATAGAACTTAATAAATTTTATTTATGTGGCATTAATACACCCAATCTCATTAATAAGAAAATATTTCATTACATTTTTTTTGAGTTAATTAAGACAAAAACCATTATATTTTATGTTAATTGATTAATAATTATATTTTTTATTGAATAATATAATAGTTAAAATTAAAATTAGTAATTATATTTTATACTAAATAATATATGAAAGTTACACAAAATTATATTTTACACTAAAATCAATATTTTTTTATATGATGAAGCGGTTGTTTATTAATAAATTAATTTTTTTTATGTCATAGTAAAATTTCTTAAAATCACATAAGCAATTGTTATAATAAATGTAATATTTTTCAGCTAATTAATGGATCATGATCACTCAAAATTATAAAAAGTATAAATTTATTACATTTATGCAATCAATATAGTGATTCGTATACAATCAAATCGTGTGTACTATTTATTTTAACCAATGATCAAATTTTAAAATATAATACTATTATATAATTTATAATTTTAATATAATATACATAAATATAACTTATAATACTATATGTTTGAAATATAATACAATTATACAACTTATAATTTTTATATTATATACATAAATATAATTTATAATATTCAACTTTATTTACATCTGTGCAAATGCACAGAATCGAATACTAGTTTTTGTTTGAAGTTTCAATTATTAATATTATCAAGTTTGAATTCGAACAATGAAAAGTATCATTAGACGAGTGAATTGTTCGACCTTACAACAACAATTAATTACTATTGCTATAATGACGCTCTTGATAATTATACAGTTGTATAAGCATTTTGTTGAAGCCTTCAAACTCAAGGACAAAAGTGTTTTGAGTTAAAAATATCTCAGATGTCTTATAAATAATCGAAATTAATTTAACATAGTAGCTAATCATGGACCGAAAGTTGTTTGGAACAAACACAAAAACCCGGTCTATTTAGAGCAGATAACATTATCTTTTACTTGTAGAAAACAAAAAAATATTAAAAGCTGATCGTAATACTAACAAGGCAAAATTGCATATCACTACCTTTTATGTTTTTGCATTTTAATCACAATATTTATATATTACCAATTAAGTACGAGTCTTTTTGTTGTTTAGAGGATGCTTGGATATAAGTTATCCCAAAAAAATTCAATCATTTTTAAACTTTTTTTTTTTGTTAACTTAAATTTAAGTCAACTTTAGCTCAATCTCACTATTCTCAATATTATCAATATAATTAAATAATATCAATCAATCATTCTTACACATAACATCAACTTTAATTTTCTATTCATCCTCTCACATAAGTTTTCACATCATCTATTTCCTACATTTATGATTTCCGTTGATAGAGATCGTCTAAGTCTCATGTCTGTTGGGATGCCCTTTTACATCAAATCAATTTTAATTATTTTATTTTAAATATTATTTTAATATAAACTCAAAATCACCCTACCAATTAACCAACCATATTTTTCAAAATTAATCAAACCAAACAAAAAATCTAAACAAAATAAAAAACTTTACATTTAGCAAATCAAAACCTGATTTCCACATGTGGCAACAAAATGCTGACACACCTCGTCGAAATACAATTGTGGAATTCACTTGTTAATATAAATTAAAAACGAAGAAATAAATTTCACGTAGGCCATTCTTTAAAAGTCATATCGCATGAATTAAAAATTCATTAATGGCCGAATTAAAAATTCGATCTTCATAGATCGACAAAGATGAAAATTACGAAGACCTGTATAAAAGACATGAAAACCCTAGATTCGAAATTCTCTCTTCAATTTTTGTAAAATATTGTCCCTACACGAAAAAGTGAAGGTAGAATTGATGGACAAGTAGGCATCAATCTATAGTTATTTTACCGTTTTGTGGGTTATATATTTATACTCCAACCAAATAAATGGTTTGTTTATTTTGTTGTTTTGTAACTCTATGATCTCTCTTACATATATAATACTTTTGTGGATTAGGGTTACGTGAAATTTATTTTACTCGTTTTCGTAAACGAGGTCCACGTTTTGTGTTGGAGGTGAAAACCTTGATTCGATTTAATACTAAAAGGCCGAATGCTTAATTGGTAACTAGTACGAATTCCGTGCGATGCACGAATAAACGATATTAATTAATATTTATAAATTAAAAATTATACTAAATAATATTTATAAATTTGAACATGGAATCAATATGTAACAATGTACCTATATAATTTATTGAAAATGTCATATAAAATTTAAATTGTGCAAAATTACATAAAACTGTCTATGTAAAATTAATACACATCCCGTGCGTTATACATAACTGATAATAAATTACATTATATTCATTTCAAAATATGTGTCATTTCAAAATTTTATTCAGAAAGTCGATTTAACTATAACGTGATTCCAAAGCCACTTCCTTTCTTTTTGTCCAAGTCACTCCTAGTGACAAACTCTTATGTTCCTTTTGTTACTGCATCTATGGCGAAGTGCATGGTTCACCCGTATTTTGCAGATGAAGAGTATTTTTTAGGAGGATGATTTTGGTTTTGACAGAATTTGAAATCATTGAGTTTAGACATTAGCTAGGATCTTTCAGAAAACGGATTCCTATTCGAAGAGCGTGACAAAAGTATTCGGTTATTGGAGAAAAATCAATAAATAATTATTTTGGTAAAATTTTATCATATATTTAATACCCGATGTGAATAATAAGTATAAATAATGAGACGGAATTTTGAATTCGATAAATTATAAATTATAAATATATATTTAATTTTTGATTTATATAAAAAGATGTTATTGTATTTTGTCTAATTCCAAATTTTTGTTCAACCCGATTTTAAGGTAACTAAATAATGAATAAAAAATTTTAAATTTTAAATTTAAAATGAGAACACATTTTCTATGCAATAAGATTTTTCCAAAATAAAGTGATAAGGAACTATGCATTTATGGTGACCGATTTTCTAGCGATTAGTTAAAAAGAAAATTAATAAATGGATGAATGTAGGATTAAATCATTTATGAAGTCCAAATTTTTGGCAAGGAATTAAAAAAAAAATGAAAAATTGTTGAAAATAGAAAGTAATAAATATTGTTTGACTTTTCTTCTTACTAAATTTGGTAAATAGTAAATCTTTTTATATATATACTAGTGCGTGGCCCGTGCGATGCACGAGAAAAAAATATTACGATTGTATTATAAATTAAATATATAAATAACATTAATCATGATTTATCCATTATTTTTAAATTAAATCGGGTTGGACACAGTCCGACCGGATGGACCGAGAACCGGTTTATAACCAGTCTAGTTCGTTTGAATAAAATATTTGCTCTCGAATCCGTCACCACCAGTCGGTTGGACTGATAAGATCGATACGATTTTCTAAATAAATTTTATTATATTTAAAATTATTTTAAATAAAATTACATATTTAAATAAAATAGAGATTTATAAATTATTTATCAATTAGTTTAAACATTTCAAAAAATTAAGATTAATTGATTGATTATGCAATTTAAAGAATATTTTTAGCGTTCAATTTATTTTTAAGGCACACATATAAAGACCGAGGTTCAAAAACTTTTGTTATATTTTGAATTGAGATTTTATAAATATAGAGACCGAGATTTAATATTGTTTGTTGTTTCTAAGAAAAAAAATAAAAATAAAAACATACACACTTAATAAATCTTAGCCGGATTTTTTAAATAATAAAATGAACTAAAGCCTGAAATTTAAGGTAGCATTTAATGTTGTATGATTTTTAAAGAAAAAAATAAAAAAAATAATAAAACTTACTATTTATAGGCTGCATTAAATTATTGACCTATTTTTTTTGCTACTATTTTTGGTAAATGTTAATTCTTATTATATATATATAGATAGATAGATAAAGTTTCTGATTAAAATGCAAAAATCTAAAATATGGGCTTTTAATGCCCACTATATTATTTATCTGTCATATATTTTCTCGTATGGCTAGATTAATTTTCAAGTCAAATTTCCTTTTCAAGTAAGATACCAACTTAATAAAATTAAATAAAATCATTCCATATTCAAAAATTAGGCTTTTAATGCCCACTATGTTATTTATCTGTCATATATCTCGTATGGCTAGATTAATTTTTAAGTCAAATTTCCTTTTCAAGTAAGATACCAACTTAATAAAATTAAATAAAATCATTCCATATTCAAAAATTATTATTTTTAAATGTTTTACTACATTTCATAAAAGAAAATAAAAGAAAAAATATATCACACACATGATTTAGAAAACATTATTCAACAGTAACAAGCCGAATCTATACATATATAATAAGAATAATCATTTACTAAAAATAGTAGCAAAAATATCTTAGAGCATTAAATGCATACCTTATTTGGAAACTTTTAAAATATATGCATTAATTGCTTCCAAATATACAATTTCAAATCATATCAAATCAGACCTGATCAAAAAGATTATTCCTTTAATTATTTTATGCAATAATTTCATTGATATTCATTATAATAAACTACAAATTTAATTTTTCGTGATTCTTATTGATTATTTCATTGTCAAGATAGACATGAAAACATATTTTAAATTATAAGCATATTATTTTTTTTCACAAATATTGACTTTTCATCCTAAAATATTTATTGAAAATAGTAACATGTTAAGTAATTTTTTTCTTCATCTTTATTTCATTATATATATATAGAAAGAAAAATAAATTATTCTTCAAATTATATACCATTTAGGAGATAATGACTAGATACATTAAATAATTTTACTAATGTCCAAATAATAAAATTGAAATAGATGAACTATTCTTTAGAATTTCAACATGTGATTTATTAACCATGATTATTTTTTTATCATTTTTTTTATTTTGATTTCTCTCCATAGTGAAATTATTTTAAAATATAGTGCATAGTGCTGAATAAACTATAAAGCCTTATGATGCAAATTAAAAAAATCAAAGATGTTTAATATTATAAAAAATTAATTCTAAAAAAAAAATATATGTGTACATTTTGTAAAATATTTGTACACAATGCTTAACAAGCATGTCCTATGGAAATGATTCATTTAATATCTTTGTCCCGTGCATCGCACAAGCTACTTAATGGTCTAACTTTATGAAAATGTCTCATTTAATATGTATGTCACGTGCATCGTGCATCGCACGGGCTACGTACTAGTTATAAAAATAACATAACTCAACTCATCAATTAAATGAGCTTAGAGATAAATAAGCCGAGTCAATCTCACGAGCGACTTATTTGGTTAAAAAAATAGTCAAGCTCTATGAACGAAAATTAAGTCTTAATCAGTCGAATTCTAAAAAACTACATCAAAATTCTTATTTTTTTAGCTCAGTATGTTGGTTAACACATATCATTAATCCCGGCGAGTCAACTCATCAATTAAACGAGCTTATTGTTAAATAAGTCGAGTCAATCACACGACTTGTTTGGTTGAACAAATACTCAAGCTGTTCTTAAGAAGTCAAATTATAGAAATTTACATTAAAATCCTTATTTTCTAAGTTACTCCGCTCGTTAACAACGCATTAAGCCGGGATTAGTGATCTGTTTTCGTTCGTTATCCACCGGCGCTGTAATCGAAGCACATGGTTATATATAAAGCTCATCCGATATGATTTCATACGCAGTGGGAACAGTGCCAATGGCTAAGCCCTCGTTTATCAGAGCCGAGCAGCCGCTGCCTCCGGATATCGCCGCCGATCGTGCAGCTCCCAGTGGAGGCGGCGGCGCCAGCTCTCGCCGCCGGAACATCGTCTTCGTCGTCAATCCCCGAGGTATCTCTCAATTGCGTTTTTGTTGCTATAACCCCCGAGGTACCTATAATTTCTCCTGTTCGAATCAAAAGGAAATTCAATCTTGATTTGTTTCTATTTTTCAGTTCACATTCGTTTGTAAAAAGATCCCCGTAAACATGAATGGTTGAAATTGGTGCAGGAGCTAATGGGAGGACTGGCATGGAGTGGAAGAAGCTGCTGCCTTCCTTAAGGTCACGTCTGGGTTCTGATTATAACGTGAGTTTTACATTTTTGTGTGAATATTAGCATACAGTTCTGTAAATTTTTGGTTGCAGTTTGAATATTTGAGCCATGTTCTGCCAGTGGCTGTAACACGTCTAATAAAAACTAGACTGTTTTGCTGACTCCTAAGTTTCTCAAATACTGGCAGGAAGAAAACTGTGATTACATAACTACCATAAATTTTGATACATCACGTTCACGTATGATGAATCTTTAGAAAACAAGGTACTTTTAGGCGCTGGATTTTTATTTTCCTTGGGAGAATTTTGTACCGAATGATACTGAGTTATTTACTTGAGTTAAATAGCTCCTAGGAACCTGCTTTTTGTGGTCTATTTTCTGATTTTGAAAAATTGTTCCTTTTCACTGTAGTAAACGAGCTGTGCTAACCTTTTCCTCTGGGTCAAAGTATGTATTAATTAGTGAGACCCTATTTTGTTTTCGTGGACAGATATGTGAATCTTTGACTTCTGGACCTTGCCATGCCATTGATATTACAAGGGAGGTGAGAACGTTAGTTACGTGATATAAAGCACTAAGTCAACTAGATGTGAAAATTTTTGTGCTGTTATGGCCAGGCTATACGTGAAGGTGCTGATGCAGTGATTGCGGTTGGAGGAGATGGAACTCTTCATGAGGTGTATTTTGATTGCTCTTTTACTGTTATTTACATTATAGCTTGAATTTTCGTTATCATGAACCTCTTCTTGATCGTAGCGCAAAATTACGGTCTACGGGTGATAAAATAATCAGTAAGATTGCTGAAAAAGTATTTGATGTGTTACTTTTGCTCCATAGTGGAGCGCATAACAATATGCAAGGATTTTTCTTCCCTATTTAAATAATTCTTTCAAGCAATGCAGAATAGTATTATGTTTCTGTATAATTTTGATCCATATTGATCCATAGTAGGGAAATCATTTGTTTGTACACCGTGCACAAACACGTACACAGACACGTGTGTGTAATTATATATGCAAACTGTAATTACAGAACCCAATATATACCATTAGACAAAAGGACGATAAGAAAATTACGAAATGAAAATGGAGCCTAATTTATTTCCGTGATGCGACTATATCCTTAATGTGTAAACACATTTACCCAGCTAACATGCCTGCAGGTTGTTAATGGCTTTTTCTGGGGTGGAAAACTTGTTTCTAATAGTGATCAGTCTGTCCATGCGACTGCTCTTGGTGTAAGTAATAATCACCGTCTTTAATTTGCAATAATTAGTTTTCTTTATCAGCGAAACTGAGTTCCTGCACGAGCCCCTTTCCAAAAAGTGAGTAATGTAATTATTGAAAACGGTTGTCTTCTTTGTTCCTTACAGCTAATTCCACTGGGAACTGGTTCTGACTTTGCTAGAACATTTGGTTGGTTAGTTGATTATACTGGTTCTGGTTTTCGTGAATGAGGTTTTTATTACTTGCAATTTCCTTTACTCAATTTTTAAAGCAGAATATATCCCTGCTTTGGTTTTATCAGGAATAACGATCCTTGTGATGCCATTGAACGTATTTCTAAAGGTAATCTACTTGTGCTTCTCTTTTTGTAGGACTTGTCTGTTATATTTTGGACCTTTTCATAACTTTCAGGGATTAGATCCCGCATTGATGTTGGAGTTATTACTGGAGAAAGCAGAGAACCACAGTATTTTGTTAATGTTGCTGATATTCATTTGTAAGCATATATTTGTCGAGAATGTGTAGAAATATCTCTGTGACTGGAAAATGTATATTTACTTTTGGTTGATGGTTATCTTAACCTTTGCAGGAGCGCAAAGGCTGGTTATTATGCATCGAGATACAAGAAGTTTGGAAATCTCTGCTACGTAATTGGTGCTTTGCAAGCTTTTTTCAGTCACCATAACCGGGACCTTAGAATAAAGGTACCTGTCTTAATATATCATTTCTTTATAATGATATTTCATTCCGTTCGTTTGGTATTTTCCTAATAAATCACGCCCTATATTATAATCCTGCAAGTTCGATAATGGCGAATGGGAAGTTTACCCTAAGGTAACAGCTCTTTGCGTTGGGAATGCCAAATATTTTGGCGGGGGAATGAAGATTACACCAAATGCCCACCCGTCTAGCGGCAACCTTGAGGTCGATTTTTTCACTTGATGTGCTCCACGCTCCCTCTGAAAATAGTAATACAGAATTTCACTTCAGTTGCTTTGTGTTCAGGTGGTTATTCTTCAAGACTTCAAATGGTATGACTTTGTCTTCAAACTGCATAAGCTATACAATGGTACACACTTATCAGAGAAAAACGTATCTTCAAGAAGGTAACACCCCCTCCATAATATATTAGATATGGTGAAGTTTGCATGGCGTAAAACACAATGTCATATTATATTTTGTTTATTTGCATTGGTTGTGGTTCCCGATTTGCTAAAGTTGGTGCAACTAGCCTCACAGCTCGATATCCTAATTTCTTGATGCTTCATATTTTTTTCCAGTGTAAGTTCGATCGAGATCGAGGAAGTCGTCAGTAGTAATAGTATTTTTGTCCAATCTGATGGGGAATATCTAGGGTTCCTTCCAAAAAAGTTTAGCATTTTGCCTGGTGCTATTGAGATGATATGCTAGATTAGGATGGATGGTAGTTTGCCTGGTGCTATTTGCGAGATAAAAGATGTATGCCGATAGTGAGACTTGTTGAATATTGAAATTTATGAAGAATCACTGCTGTTGTCTGGGAATGCAATGTTGATTTCTTGAATTTTCAGCTTGCTGATTATTTATTTATCTATTACTATATAATACGGAGAAGAAAAATTATTTGAACAATCCGAAAAAAATCATTTCGTTTTCCCGCTTCAATATAGTGTTTTTTCCGCTTCTTCAATTCGTAAAATTTTTTTTTGAATTTTTTCAGCCCATGCAATTAGGTAACCAATCAAATCGAATCTTTTAGCATTCAATTTAGTAAGGTGTTCCGATTTTAGCATTCAAATCCGATTTCACTTCCTTTTTTTATGCCAATCAATCCGATTTTTTTGGTTGTTTCAAAATTTGTTTAGATTTATATTTTTATTTTATTAATATATTTGAAAGAGAATCAATAAATGTTTATCATAACTTTTATTTTAAAAATAAATTTGAACAAGCATACCTTTTACTTTAAAGGAAAAGATTCCAAACAATCTACATTATCTAACCGATTTTTTTATGATACAAATAATATAATATCTTAACAAATTAATTATTTGTCTAACGGGATTTATCTCTCTAACAAACTTGCCAAATTTTTTAAAATTAAAATGGTATGATTATTCTTATGGAGATACTTATCAATATATTAAATATTTAGAAACTTTTTTAAAAAAATGAGTTATCCCTCCTTTTACTTTATTTGAAATTCTGACTTATATTTTTAAATATATTATTATTTATTTTTTTACATGTAAATATTTATTATTTATTATCAAAGTGATAAATATTATTGATTTATCTCTTTAACAAATATTTATTATTTATTTTTTTTCCTTACGTGATATAATGTAAATTTGGTTACTAAATTTTTAAATTCAAACATTTAAAAGAAAAGACCACGAACAAATTTTTTGGTTACATTTCATTTTATTTTAACTTCCATATAATCACAATCCTAACAAACTAATTAGTATAATATTTTTTTTACCCATTTTTATATAATCGGATTTCTTAAAATATAATTGATATAACATTTTAACTATTTAATCATTTGTATAACTTGATTTAACTCATTATCAAACTTGCCATTTTTTTTTTTTAAATTAAAAAAAAATTGGAAGATTTTTATTTGTAAAATAATAAAAAATAGCTTTACTTTAAAGTCTGGATTATTTTCATTATTTTTTTGTACGTTAACAATCATATATTTTGGATTATTGATTTAAAAAAACAAATCAAAACCGTAAGGTTTAATAATATTCCTTAAATAAAAAATATTGTATAAAGAAAAGTATTTAATAATATATATTTTTCATTGATTGTATTTATTTTATTTTCATAATAGACGAGAAGTGAAAAATATAAATAATTATATTTAAAATAAAGTCTAAAAAATGTTTAAAATATAAACTCTTCCTTGCATCGCACGGGATATACACTAGTAGTTATATATATATAAATGCAAACTAGAATTTAAGCTACTATTAACCTGTGCATGAAGAATGCACAGCAAGTCTGCAACTGAATTGAAACTACACACACATAATACATAAATTACTTCTTCAAAGTGAGAGAGAGAGAGAGAGGAATAGGAAATGCAGGTTCCTCTCAGTCTCTTGTTCTGAATCAAGTACAGACAAAAGAACCTCAAAACACCAACTCCTTTTCTTCAGCCCCACTTTTCAAATAGTCCACAAACTTCCCGATACAATCATCGTTAATTTTCCTATTCCCGAAAATGCCCTCCGCAGCCTCTTTGGCACGCGCCCTCAATCTCTCCCCTTCCCCCGAAACCATAGCTTTCCTCAAAGCACTCGCAATCCCATCCCTGGTAAAAATTCCATCTTTGCCCCTCTCGACCTCCACCGCCAGTCCTTTCTCGACCAGAAGCCTCGTGTCCAGTGGCTGGGCAATCACAAACGGCAGAAGCACGAGGCTGTGCCCGTATATAGCCGTCTCTATAATGGAGGCCCACCCAGCGTGGAACAACGAGCCACCTATCGATGGGTGGCCGAGTATTTCCCTCTGTGGGGACCACCCAGACTGGACCACTCCTCTCCCCACCGTCCGCTGGGCAAAGCCCAGCGGCAGAGCCTCATCCAGATTGGGCTCTCTCAGAGCCCACAAGAAGGAAAGCCCGGAAAGCTCGAGCCCGTGTGCTATTTCAAGAATCTCCTCTTTCTTGAGCTTATGTTCGCTCCCGAAACTGACGAAAACGACGGACCCCGGTTTGCGCCCGTCGAGCCAGTCGAGAATTTTACTCCACGGCTGCTCGTCTTTGATTCTTCTCGTCCCGGAAAGCTTCTCGGGCGGAAGAAAACCGAGCGGGAAGACCGGCCTTTGAGTAACTTCCGAGAGTAGCTTCGAGTACTCGCCTTCGAATAATGGGCTCGTGCGCACGGTCAAAGCCCGGCTGCCGTTGACCAATTTCGCGAAACGGGCCCCACCTGAGAACCCGGTCTCGTCTACTCCGTACAGGACATTGTGCATCATGTCGGTTTCGTGATCCCTGCACGCGACTTTCGAGGGGAAGTCGACCCATTTTGGCGGGAAAATTAAATCCCGAGGAGATCTCCCGGCGGCGGCCTGTCTCGGGTCCTCGAGAAGCTCTGGTGTCCAGAAGAAAACGGCGGTGCTGGCAGTTGTGATGGAGTTTGTGATGATGGGTATTTTCAACTCTTGAGCAATATCAACAGCCCAATGAGGGAAAAAGTCCACTATTAGCCAGTTTGGGAGTTTGTTTGCTAGGAAATTTTTGATGGGTTGTTGGAGGTGATCGCAGGCTTTTTTCAGTCTGCCCATTTGTTCGGCCGGGATGTCTATGGTGGCTTCTGCATTTTCCGGCAGGGGATTGGAGTCGAGCTTCGGGAGGGAAAAGGGTACGAAATCTATGAAAGGCGATAAATCGAGTGGGATTTTCGGGAGTCTTTGGATATTTCTTGAAGTCGAGAGGAAAGAGACGTGAATGCCGTGTTTGGCTAAGGCAATGGAGAGGTCTAAGTATGGGATCAAGTGGCCGAACGCTAACCATGGAAGCATCACGACGTGAACTTCCTTCTCGTTTTTGCTCATATTTATTGGAGTTTTTTTTCAGGTTTGTTCTCTCTCTTGTGTTTGTTTTTTGGTGTAGGCACACAGCTAATGCATAACAAGATTGAGGAGAGAGCTAAAATGGCCTCTGCGTGTGACTACTGTAGTCTGGTTGATTGCTGCAATTATTTCTTCCTTGCATTTGTTAATTGTACGGTTGTGTTTCTNGTTCTACCAACAAAAAAAAAATCAAATGGACCCCACTTTATGTGAGGTGTACACATAGAGGTGTACATAACACACACATTAAGTGGGTTCTACCAACAAAAAAAAAATCAAATGGACCCCACTTTATGTGAGGTGTACACATAGAGGTGTACATAACACACACATTAAGTGGGTTCTACCAACAAAAATAAAATCAAATGGACCCCACTTTATGTGAGTGTTATGTACACTTCTATGTACATTTATTATGTACTTGTAGCATTTTTTATTTTTTTTAAACATAAATGGCATGTTTTGTTGATGTAATATTTGGTAGGTTATCATTTTCGAGTATGAGATTAACAAAAAATTGCGTTTTAGTAGTCGTTAGATTATTTAATGTAACTCTAGCTTAATTGGACTATGTTAGCAATATTTGCAATAGTTAAGTGCGTTTAAGCTGATGAGTATCAAGTACATATCGCAGGGAAATAATGTGTGCTCAAGTTCACTTTGTTAATGAACGAAGGCAAATGAAAACTATAGCAATCGCTCGAGTGCTGAGTAATGTATAGCGTATTGTTTCATTTTATTTTATTTTTTTTCTCTACAAAAAGAAGGAAAAAATAAATGTTTTTTCTCCTTATCAGAAATAAGTAATTAATTTTGTAATTTGAATTCATATGAGAAAAATAATAAGTAAATCTGATGTTACGGGAAATTTGTTAAATTCTAACAGATAGAAACAGCTCAAATAAGTGAGTGATTAAATACTAAAAATTATTTTAAAAAAATGTGTAAAAATGGTTGTTTTTTATTTAAAATAAAAATTATTGATATAATTGACAGAGAGGAAAAGTGAATAATGCATAATTAGAAATGCTCTTTCGTTGTTAGTCAATTGTTTATTTCTCCTGGTTTACTATGTCAATTCCATATGTCTAATTTTATTATTTCACACCTCAGTGGTCAATTCCCTATAGTTAGTACTAATATAAACATCAATAAACAGGTCGACAGAAAAAACTATTTCACCTAATCACGTACCCACGTCAGTCTTTTCACATTCAAAGTGTCTTTCTATAAGTAGGATCCACTGATTAGGATCATTAATATTATGTAATAACATCACAGTAATGATAAATCACATCATCTCCAAAGGCACCCATTATTTAATGAACAACCAACACCCTTCAATCAAACTAACACATAGTAATATCCTTCTTCAGAGCAAATATTACTTCAAACTCTTTTATACAATACTGTTCACCACTGCAAAATGTAACAACTAACAAGACCCAAAATAAGAATCCATAATATTGCAGCTATAAAACGTCCGAAGAACTCCACACTGCAAATTATTTCATTTCTTTTAGGGGGACTGCTATTAAAACCGATCCTCATTAAAGAGTTTCTCAACAGATGTCGAAAGAGTGTCATTACAGAGTTTTTTAAACAGATGTATTCGAAAGAGTCTCAATATCAGCGTATTACAATTGTATGAGCCTTCTCAGTGAGACGGGTCAGGGTTGAATTTAACGGATTCCCTCCATATGAGCTCCTTGATATTCTCCTCAGTAAATGATGGCTGCTCAAAATCGAAAACAAAAGGTCGAGGGCAAACTGGCTCGTCATTTATGTCGTGAAGAGGAGCCAAGTATGGATGACACAGAGCCACATCAACTGCAAAATTTCATTAAAAAAAAAAAAGGAAAAGAAGAAAGGAAAGTCGATTATGATCCAAAAAACAGTTAATTTATATAAATCAGTTAATTCATTCAATTTTTATATGTTTTTGGCTAAATGCCAATAACATTTTTCCTATATTAGATAACAAATCTTTTTTCCAGAAGATTTCAACTTCCATACTGTGTTTGTTGTAGCTCTATATCCATAATTCAAGTAATGAAAATGTACTTATCAAAATATATTTAGCGAATATTATGTATCATTACCAGTAATACGCCTGCTTGGGTCGAAAACAAGCATTTTCTCTAATAAATCCAAAGCTCCAGCAGAAGTGTTGGGAAATCGAGCAGCAAATTGTTGCCTAGGATACTGAGGCAGCTGCCTAACGTACCTTCGAGCATTGTCACTTCGAAGGAAACCGAGACTTGCATCATCTGGAGAGCCTATAAGCTTTTGAAGAGGAAAACAAAATTTAAGTCATTTTTTTTTTAAAAAAAAAAAGAAGATATAATTACTAACTAGCCTTGAAGCCATATTTATCTTCCACAATTTGCAGCTCTCAGGATAACAAATACACCTCAATGAAGTAATTTTGTTCAAATGTCCAGGAAATATTTTCATTTTCAAATGATAGCTCAATCATTTTGCAAGTAAATTAAACTAAAATAAAAAAAGTACCTCAGTTATAAGTCTTAGCTGATGAACATAATCTTTGCCAGGAAAAAGAGGTTTTCTTGTCATGATTTCACCGAGTATGCAACCCACAGACCATATATCAATAGCAGCAGTGTATTCTGAACAATTTAGGAGCAGTTCAGGTGCTCGATACCAGCGAGTGACAACATATTCAGTCATGAAATCAGTTTCCGATGTTGTCCTGGCTAGCCCAAAATCCCCGATTTTCAGATCACAATTAGCATTAAGTAGTAAATTGCTCGGTTTTAGGTCACGGTGCAAGACGTGTGCTGAGTGAACGTATTTGAGCCCTCGAAGGATTTGGTAAAGAAAGTACTGCAAAGATATTAGATAAAAAAAATTGTAGAAGGAATGAAGTAGTTCATAGACTCATTACTTCCTTTTTCACTTTATTTTTTTTTTTATCAATTTATTTATTTTTGGGTTCCTCTGCTGGAAGATGAACCCACCATCATCACTTCTTGTCACATATAGTGTCTAAAATAGTAAAATCTAAATTAAAAAAGAAAGAAAATGCAGTTCGATGATGATTAAAATTGAAGTGAACATTATTTTGTTCTTTACATTCATGTATTTATATTTATACAACATATAAGTTAGATGTTCATAGATTATGAGAAATTTTCAAATTTATTTTAGAATGCATCCCACAACACACTCTTCCATATTCTTGCGCCACTCGCCAAAGGTAACTGAAGGAGTGAAAAAAGAGTTCAAATGCTCGAAATGTAAAATAACAAGTTTAAGAACAGACAAAGTAACACGATAACTAACTATGATTCATAATACGTAAGCAAGCAAGGCCAAACCCGACAATGGTCATCGGTCAATGGTTGGGTTGACTGGATAATCTGATGAAGATCAGTGTCCATAAGTTCATACACAATGTAGACATCATTAAAGTTTTCTTTTAGTGGGGGGCGTATAATGTCTTTAATTGCAATCACCTGTTTAAGACCAAAAATCATAAAAACATTAGAGAATAAAGAGAGATAAAAGAAAACAGAAATATTTGAAACTCAAGAATCGCAAAATCAATGTGGAATACTCACATTATCATGATCCATGTGACGTAGAAGTTTAATTTCCCTCAATGTTCTCTTTGCATCAATTCTGTTGTCAAACGCATTCCCAATCTTCTTAATAGCAACTTCTTCACGTGTCTCCGAGTTTACAGCGGCACTGAAGCAAAATAACATACATAGGATTGAAAAAATCAATACATGCCATGTGACTTTACAGTAAAACAATCAATCACACAAATATGAGGTATGTGTGTGTGACTGTGTGTGCGTGCGCGCGCATGAAACTTATTTCCACATGAAAGCTACTAATATAAGACAGCCAGGGTGCATTTCAAAGGATACTATTCTCTTAACCCAAAATACTTTAGGTTGGTTTGTATTTTCAAAAAATTGGTATCCAATACTTAAGGAATGAGGATTATATCTTTCATGGCAAAAACAAAACATCGACAAAACAGTGGCAGCAGACTAAGTACATAGGAAAAATAAAAACGTATAACGAAAGCCGTTTGGATCTCATCTACAAGCAGACATTCGAAGATCAGTACTCATCTTATCCCTTACCACTNAAAATAAGATCGGTCAGTAGTTAACAAATATAGACAGTCGTAACTAATAGTAAATTCGAACAAAAATCAAATCCAAGGAACATCTCATTTTATACTACTGGAAGAACCACACATGAGAGAAATCCCACAACACACACATCTTTCATCACACTTCATTTCATAGAGGTGAGAGTTTTCTTATAAAGATAATTTTGGAAAAAGATAGCCAAATAAAAAGTTAAGAATCTCAGGATATATCTAACATATGATAAGTACATAACGACAAAAAATTTTAGTCGCATATCATTCTTACTATCACACAGCATAGAAGCTTGAATCTTTAAGCAATCAACACAAGCCAAAAGCTTGCAAACTCGTGAAAAACGCTTATCTTTTTCAATAAAAGTGTGCAAGAACTAACTCCCTAGGTCACCCAAATTCTATCAACTTGGTAAGAAACAAGCAAGCACAACCCATGAACATAAACATCAAGAAAACACATTTAANAAAAAAAAAAAAAAGAAAAAGGAAAAGACTTGATCTTTACCAAACAATACCATAAGCCCCGCGTCCCACGGGCCTCAGCGGGACGTACTTTCTTGAAACCTCAAACAAATTTCCGTACACATTGTACTGAACATATCTCCCACCATGAGTGGGGACCCCCTTGATATTATGCCCGCCATGATCACCTGAACTCGACTCCACAGACATATCGAACAAGACAAGAGACGAAAAACCTAAAATCACAAGGTATTACAAAGAAAACGAGCAAATACGCAAGAAAACCCAGCTCTCAAATATGTGATTTTTGACAAAGTTCTTGAATTTGTTCGGGTGAGTGTCGGCGTCCGAAGGCAAAATGAGAGTTACCCGACATTTAATGAAAAAAATTTCCCCTTTTTCTTCATGCCCCTTTTATGGGGTGGTGAATTTTCTCTCTTCTAATTTCTTGGGGGATAGATAGAAAGTGGGTTATGCGTGTGAACTTTTGAACTGGAATGACCTGAGGAAACCCGTGAAGAAAATCGACTTTTATTTCAGTGGGTGATAAAGGGGGTTGAATTGAAAGTTTTACGAATCTTTAACCATACACCTGGTTAGAACTTAGAAGTTGACTATCTAATAAAGAAAAACAAAAATCTGGAGTTTTTTTTTCTTTCATTTACATTTCTCTATTTCATTATTCATTTGTATTTTTAATTCTACAATTAATTTCTCGTTTGTTTTCTTTTCTTTTTTTCTCCATTGGCTAAGTCGAGTCGGAACCAATCGACTTGAAGGGAAACCGGGTCTGACTCGACCATTATGCATGTAACCGCCTTTGATATGGATAGCCCCAACCATGATTTACACATATAAGTGGAAATTCATTTTATCGTGTTCGTATTTTATTATTATATTTTGATAATATATTTTTTAAAGAATATGATAATAAATTTAAATTTAATTATTTTCCCTTTTCATTTTTTCACCTGATGTCATATCCATCGATGAGAAAATTGTTTGTGATTATAAACCTTATTTTAATGAGAAAATTGCACGTACTAACAATTTACTTTTTAATTGTGTCTATATTCGTATTTTTATCGTGTCAACCATTGTTATTTTCCTATTTGAAGTTGAATAGAATTGGACCAATTTCGGTCTATGCCCACTATTTAAACTATCATGCCAATAATTTTTTTAAGTCGGGCGACTCAAACATCATCATATATTATTTCGAGACTCAATTGAGAATTTGAGATTTTATTATGTTTAATTACATTACTATATAATATCAGCCCGGATTAAGTTATTAACATTGATATGTAGATTTTAGAAAACTACAAAAATACTTAATAAAAAACAAAACACTTAATACTACTTGACCAAAATACACAGAGAAAGTAGGTCAGAGGTGGCTGCTCAAAAATTTCCACCCACTTTCTAACTTGGCCTCAATGGCTATATGTTCCCCCTTTTCTTCTATCAACTACGTTGACTTAGACCAGTCATTGATTTTGCAGAATTTACAGGTCAATAAAAACAATGTCTAATTGTTTGATTTTGCAGAATTTACAGGTCAATAAAAACAATGTATAATTGTTCAAGCATTTGATGCTTTAACCCTTCCACACAAGTTTCACAGCATTGTCTTTTAGTATATCACCTTATATATAATTGCAGAATGCGCTGAGTTTAAGTGGTAGCCTCGCACGCTTCAGAATTTTATTTGGCAAAAAAATATGCTTCGTAGTTTGGTTTAGATAACAAATAATATTATTCTAAAACAATAATTTTAGGTTCGAACATTCCAAAAGTATTGGAAAACTAACTTGGTAATTTCATAATAGTTTGACTAATATAACCATGAAATTGTATGATAAACTTTGGTAATGATGTTGATTTGCTAATATAACATTGATGTCTTGTGGAAACTCTCAATCGGATCATTAATTGTCATGAAAGCATCAAATTATCCTAATAAATACATATATTTAATTTTAAACAATTGTTGTTATTATTTTATTTTAAAAAATAATTTTCTTAAAACCCGAAAATGCAAACTTCACTTGTTTATCGAAATTTAGAGTTGCTGAAATGACATTAGATTCAGGTGACAAAATCCATCTAACTTGATCACATCACAATTTGTCAAAAATTTGCAAATACTGTTGCGAGACAGCCTAAATGATAGACATATCTTAACAACAGCTCCAATTGTCGAATAAATTCCCCTACCCTCGTGTCCAAACAGTAGACATGCAATCCAATTAAGAAAATGGGATGAAGACATTCAATGCAGGCAAATTATAAGCTTACATCTTTAATCAAAACCACATCGTATGAGTTCAAACACTTATTAATTACATCATTACTCACCATCACACCACAACTCGCAAGATCTATTCCAACTAAACACACGCACCCTTTTACCAAATACCGAAAACACAACAACACACTCCTAAAACGCACACAATGTGTACAAAGGAGCAATTTTTTTCCTTTTCACCCAAACACCAAACCTCCAACTTTGTTACTGTTGTTACTCCTTCCACTATCAGAAACACCAGCTCCTACTCTAAGGTTAGAAAGCAACGCATCACGACCCGTTAGGACAATCTGGAAAAACCCATCTACTTCCTTACCAAGCAAATCCAGTCCAACCGAAAGATTCTCGGCCGATTTCCTCAAATCGCACGTCAATTCAGACAATTTCTCAGTCTCAACGGCCACTAAACCTTCCCCAACGACAGGATACAATTTATTCACATTATGATTGACAGATTCAAGCTCTTTGAGCACCGTGACCCTCCCGCTCGAATACAAGCTCCGAATCTCGGTATTTACAAAAGCCTGGAGCTCAGCAAAAGCCTCCGCCCAGAAAAACGACTCAGTTATCTTCAAGTCCATCAGCTTCTTTGCTGAGCCCGAGAAGGCTGCAGCAAATATGCTGCAAATCAGAAGGGTCACCGCCTTAACCCCGTACATTGCCCGCATCAGAATTTTCCCCTTAGCCGAGTTTTTGATCTTCGGCAAGTCCAACTTCTGGGCGAGTCCATCCATCATGGCAAAGCACTTGTCGAGCCTCGCGTTTTTCAAGCCGACGTGCTTTTTCCAACCATTTAGAGACGAGTGGGCCTGCAAGAACTGCTGTGGGGAGGCATCATCATTACTCATCAGGTTATGGGACACGCATTGGAGGTAGAGATGGCCTTGCTTGAGACGAGATATCTCGGAGGTGAAAGCAATGCATATGTCGAGCAGTTTCACGCTGTTGTCCAAATAGACGTCGACCCATTTGTCTTCCCAGTCGCAAATGGGAAGCTCGAGGGCCGTGATAAGGGTTTTGACATCTGTGTGGATCTCGCAAAGGGACTCGACAGCACACCTCATCCAGGATAAACGGAGAACATCCTCCTTGCTTGCGGGCATAAGCTTCTTGATTCGGCCTGCAAGAGTCTCCTCGAAAGTGTTCAGTAAAGAGAGGAGCTTGGGAGAGAGATGGGACCCCTTTGGAGATAGCATGCGAAAAGGGTTTCCGAAAGGGAGAAAGGGCCTGTGTGGTGGTTCTTGAGCACGACTCATTCTTTCAATTCACTACCTGCAAGGAAAAGATTTAACACGCTCCAGAAAATTTAGATCGCAGTATTTCACACCGGGAGAAAAGAGGTAAATCTTCAGGAAGGAAGAGAATAAGTAAAAAAAAAACTATGCTATCTGCAAAAGCACCATAAAAGTCTACTGAAGTAAATATAAGGTTTCAGTGTATCTGAGAAGTCGGAAAAGAAAGAATCAAGTCGAAAGGTCTCACCAAGTAATGGGTGACCAATATTCATGAACAATAATACAGAAACACCTGGTTGAACTTATGTTTTGTCCAAGTGTTCTTAATCCAAATAACTTTACATATTACAAATTAAATGCTCCTGTGTTACATAGCTGGTATGTAAGGCCTGTATTTGTCAAATCACATCTAAATCAAGACAAACTTCCAGTCCCCTCACAACAGCGTAATAAGTTTCGGATGTAGAAACCATTTCTAACAGACAGATGTCCTCAATAGCTCACACACACAAAATCAAACAACGAAACCCGTAACCAATAGATTCAAATACATCAGTACCAGCAGCTACAAATTCAAGGTTCATAACATCATTAAATAGCATAATTTTCAACAGATCTAGCCTTTTACCAACCTCAAAACGTCAAATACTCAGTACAGTAGAAAACCCATGACCGAATTAAAGCCAAAAAAAACTTAATCAACACTCAGATCTCCCATCAATTCATCGGTCAACGCACCAATTTCCGTCAATTAATCAAAATCAAACCCAGTAACTACGAATCCAGACCATGAATCTCTTCTCCACTTCCGCAACAACCAAATACATGAATTAAAAACCAGCACACCACAGAATCACGTAAAATGAACCACAGCAAGCAATTTACAAGACACATAAAACATCAAAATCCTTGAAAATAACAAGTTAGGGTTACAGATCCGTACCTAGCAAACCGGTCAACGGCTCAACTCGAAGCGATCGTGCGATTCAAATCCGCAAAAAGCAATTTAGTTACTCAGATGTAGCTATAGAATCACAAAACGGCGATCAGGCATCTACACACGCGAAAACATAGATATATATTTAGAGAGAGAAAAATGGAGTACCTGAAAGAGTAGACGCGTAGAAGAGTGGTGAAGCTGCGCAGAAAGTGTAGGCAAAAAAGTAGGGATTTGCAGAGATAAGAATCGTGTGGAAAATGAGGGCGTTGAATATTCATTAAGGGACACGTGGTGGCCCGTGATTGGATGACGAATATGGGCTTTTGTTTGTATTTTTCTTTGGTACGTTTGGCGCGTGGTAGAGACTAGAGAGTCGGCAAAATCTGGCCCATTAGTTCGACCCAGAAACCGAACAGTACTTAGTAGCATTTTTCTTAATAAAAACATTGGTTCAGTTTGTTTATTTAATTAGGAACAAAATGCTTGACATATTTTTCTCTGGGGCAAAACTTATTGGACAAATGTTATATTTATTTAGTTTCAACTTTATTGGTAAGGTTGATGGCTTATAAAGAAAAAGGTATACAATTATATTTTCTATACCGAAGTTATAGTAAGTGGATGTGGATGCATTTTTTTGTTGGGTTACTACCTCAATTGTTCAAGAGTCTTATCAATTACAGAACAGATTAAATAAAATTGAAACTATATATTATTAATTGTGAAGAATGAATAATAAAATATCACGAATGGTGTTGTGGCATAGCTTAATATGAGTCACTTATCATATATTTTATTTTAAAAATGCATATCTTATTATGCGAATTGCATGATTAATTATTCTTTTCATACAGGAAATACTAATGAAAGGGGTAAAATTCATATTTTCACACATAGATTGGTTGAACCTGTCAAATAAATATATTTTAAAAATTATGTTGTATGTGAATACTGAATAATTGTTGATGACTATTTGATGACACTAAAAAATGTGTCATGATGACTTGACATTATGTGTAATTGAATGGTATTTGTGTGCTAGTATAAATGAAACTAATTGGTCATTTTTTATTTTTACGTAACAATAAAATTTATTGAAAAAACACATAAATACAATTAGAAAAATCAAACAGTTATGAGTTGAATCTAACGGGAGGACCCCAGATTCGGAGCCTAGAAGACTACACTAACACAGCCGCAAGACAACACAAACTCACCCACAAGACAACCCTAACTAAACATCTCTCAAAACGGGACAAAAGCTCCTACTAGAAGAAAATAAGCCCCAACCAAGAAGAGAAACGCCAACAACAACAACAACATAGCCTTTTAGTCCCAAGCAAGTTGAGATAGGCTAGAAATGAGAAGAGAAACACCAAAAGCACAAAACAAAAACAAGAAAAAAGAGACAACAACACAAACACCACAAAACAACACAAACTAATTGTTTATCAATCAAGCAAATATCCTTTCTTTTCTTTTGGCTTTTGCCACCACACCACACAAAAATCCCATCCCAAATTGATTTATATTTATCTGTTTTGACAGAAAAAAAATACAACTTGGCCAACACATTCATTGCCAGTTATGTGAATTTTTTAGTAGCGCCCGTTATATAAATTTTAAATTGGTTTGCGAAAAAAAAAAATTAATTAACTTTAATTTTTGGAAAAATAAATTGGTATTTTTCACTTAAAAATAACGGGGCATTACCAGCTCATTTTCCACTCCTTGCCCTCCCTAACAAGAAAATACTAATATGTCTTTTTCTAAATTTCATGGCAAAAAATCAGTACTATGCCATTTCCACATCCTCAATAACAGGGCAAGTTGTCTGAAGACCCTTTGATTTCTTTTGTGAAGCACCATAACAGCTGGCAAATGGGGGCAGCACCATAAAATGTTAACATATATTAATTATTGGGAGCCAATTTATAATAGGACACAATAATTTATTCTTCAATAAAATTTTACAATAATACCACCTTTTTGTCCAAATGTGTAATAAACAGGTCAAGTTTGTTCACAGGGATGGTCTAATTCTCTTAATAAGAGAATATTTCTTTCTTCTAAATATATATGCATTTGATATCAAAGTTACGCACCAAACTTAGGTAAAGCATCTGCAAAAGTGAAATATGACATGAAAATTACAATTGAAGAAGAAATAAGTTGGGCCGTATAACAATTTTCTATAAGAGTAAAGAATGGACCATTCACTTTACAGTTTACACAAACTTGAAAAACAGTGGTGTGACAAAACATTAAAGAGCAAAGCTTAAAAATAATGAGATGAAATAAATAGATAGATAACCAATTGAAAAAATTTAACCAAAAAAAAAAAAATGGCACCATATTTCAATAATTATAAGACTACTATCTTGTGGTTGGCAAATTGTGGCTCCTACTGCTATCTCCATCCCTAGTATCAGAAATACCTTCACTTTGTTATTTTTTCAAAACTTCGACCCGAGTGATTATCAACTTCTCTCAACGAACTCGATGGTTCACGACCTGATCTTCTTTCCTGCATTATAAAACGAAAAGATGATCTTTTGAATTTAAAAATAGCCCAATCTGAATGATAACTGGATTTTTTGATAACTGCATTCAACTTCAGCACTACATTTTGTAATTAAGACATTCATTTAAAGTCAAAAGTCGCATGTTATCGAGAAAGGACAAAGATTAGGATTTACTTCGCGAGATTGCAAGTCCTCGGACTCCAGCATGTGTATAATATGGCCCATTTTGGGTCTCTTTAGAGCATCTGGGTCGACACATCTAAGGGCCACTAAGATGACGCGTTTTAGTGCTTTCGAGGCGGGCAGTTCGGGCAGCTTAGGGTCGATAACCTCTTCGGTTTTCCTGTTCGCAACCATCATTTTAAGCCAGTCGACCAGATTAACCTGAACATTTTGTAATTAGTGAGTCCNAAAAAAAAAAGGGGTATGTGCTCATATAATTAATGCGAATTATTCAGGCATTTAAAGATGGTAAAAACAAACCTCTCCAGGTGGCCGACTATAATCGACTGGTGATCTTCCTGTAATAATCTCCATAATTAATATTCCGAAGCTGTAAATGTCACTCTTCTCGTTTAGCATACCAGTGCATGCGTATTCTGGCGCAACATAACTAGTACGACAAAAGGGAACAATCAAAATCAATTACCCAAATCAAATCAGAATTCAGGGTTAATTATAAAAGTCCAACCGAGGATTGGCCTAACTACAAGAAACATGCAATCATCTCATGGTGATGGAGGTATGTGTAATTTGATGGATTACATTCGTGATTTACCCCAACAGTTAATCTTTTGACCAAATAATCAACTAACCCGAATGTTCCCATAACTCGTGTCGTCACATAAGATATCTCGGAATTCAAAAGTTTGGCGAGCCCGAAATCAGACAGCTTAGGATGCCAGTTTCTGTCGAGCAGTATGTTGCTGGTCTTGATGTCTCGATGAACAACCTTTGGTTCGAGACCCTCGTGAAGATAAGCCAAGCTGCAAAACAAATATAAATCCAAATGTAAGCAAATAGGGAAACAGAACTTTGTCCGACTGCAAAACAAATCACAATGATTTTCAGTTGTTATATTTATACCCTTTTGCAGTTCCTAAAATAATATTCATCCGAATTTCCCACGTCAAAGGGCTAACTTGGCCTACATCCCCATGAAGCCACTGATCCAAATTCCCATTGTCAACATATTCATATACAAGCATCCTACACGAGAAGGGGAAAAAAATGGATTATACTAGTAACATATAACAGCTCAAAATTTGATGCTTAAAACTTAAAAAACCAACTACTTGCGAAAATGAATTAATTAACAATACCTGTAAGCACCTTCGACACAGTACCCCAGCAACCTAACGAGATTTTTGTGTCTAACGCGTCCAATTGCCTCAACCTCCACTCTAAACTCCTTTTCAGCTTGGCCCCTGATAATTTACAACACCATGAATTAACTTAAAAATCTTCCATGTTTCAAGCAGAAAAAAGCCTGAAACTATTTGCTGGACATAATAAGCACAAAACAGTTTCTAATTAAAATCAACAAGAAGTTGTTTTCAAGGGATAAAAATCAAAACTTACAAGGAAAAATAAAAAAAATAACAAAAAAACTCGTATAATACCTATTGTTCAACAAATTCTTTATCGCGATTCGAGTATTATCAGCCAAAACTCCATAATACACAATACCATATCCACCCTCGCCAATTACATTCTCATCAGACAAGCCATTCGAGGCCGCTTCAAGCTCCCTCAGAGTGTACCACCTTCCCCACCCCAAATGAGACACCTCAGGTAACGAACCACCACTGCCACCACCGCCACCAAATGAGCCAGTGTCGGGCCCACTAGTGGCCTTGCTCTCGCCGCTAGACGTTGCCCGATCAGAAAACACTACCCTGTGTGCTACCTTTCCCATATCTATCTGTATTTCAGGCACAGCCTAAGGAAAAAGAAAAAAGGAAGAAGTGATAACTTGATCTTTGTCCTTTAATGTTGTTAATAGTATGAAATAACTATATTTGTAAAAGTGTTGCAAAATGAGGAGTTGTAGAATTTGTATTTAGCCATGAACACTTTTGGAAACATACAAGCAGTTGAGTATATTAATCCACTAATGAAATTAATTAGATTTCAAATGCAACATATCCAAACATGAGCTCCAATAACTGAAAATGAAGCTCAATTNCAAAAGGTAGACAGAGATAATATATTCCTTTACCTCCATTGAAGACACTGCCTTTTATTTGGGAAAAAGGAATAAAAAAAAAGAGGATAAATTCGGTGAAAATCACAGATCTGGAAAAAAAATTACCATGGGCGCAATGGGGCGTTGTTCAGCGGCAGCGGCCGCCGTTGTAGTGATCTCCTGGATCTCCTTCGAGACGACTGGAATAATCTCGCTAGCCGGACGGCGACGTCCGCCCTTTCCGCTGCCGCTGCGGCGGCGATAGGCGGTGATGCAGAGGGAAATGAGGAAGAGTATGAGTACAATAACCACTCCGACGGCTATTCCGATCACCCTGTACAAATGGAGCCCAAAAACCCATGTTCTCTTGGACAGCTCGTTGTTCACAAAAGTGGTGTCTAACAGCGACATCTTCGCATAAAAAAATCAGCACAGAAAATTGAAAATAAAAATAAAAATTAATGATTACTGTATTCCTGTACAAAGAGACATAGATTGTGTGTGCATATGGAATTCGGAGGAAAAAAAAAAGAGAGAGATTAAATGGCTATTTAATGATGGATTTACGGATGCGTATGCGCGTGTGGATTTTTTTTTTATTGTTAGCAAAACGTGAATGGGCAGGTCGAAGGAGGGGAAAAATCGATGAGGTTTGGCCGGAATATCAGGTGCTCCGGCAACTAAGATTGCGTGCGCGCCGGGAAAGTGAGAGGGAATCTTATACTGAGCTGAAAATAACTTCCTTGAGTGGCGTGTGTGTGTGTTTTATCGCTGCCTAAAGAGACGAGTTTCTTTTGTCTTTTCTTTTTAATTCCCTTTCTTTTTGCATTTTTCTCTTTTTCTTTTTTGTCAATTGATTTGTTAATCTATTAATAAAAGGTGATCAAAACGAAATCGAACATTTAAAAAAAAAAAACGAAAGTAAATAATCAAAACGAATCTTGCAATTAGGTGAAGTCATTTTATGGTAAAAAAATGTGAGCAAATTATTATTTATCTTGATACCTCCTCGAAATTCTAATGGCCTTTGGTTTTATTTTTTTCTCATAAATAATTGAGAAAAGAATTAAAAAAATAAATATATTTGTATTCATTAATGCTTACTCGTAAGTCGCAACGGTCCGTGATGATATAAATATTGGATCGAAATGATAAGTGGATATATATTAAATCGTGGGCCTGTGAAGTCTTTTTGTGGGGCCCGCTGAAAAATGAGGACAAGCAGTATTTTGAAGAAAAAAACAATTTATCCCGTAAAGCTAATGTTTAAATGGCGTGAAAATTATTTAAAAATAATCAAATTCCGAATTAGTTGGTTAATTTAGTCTCATATGCATGAATATTTTTAATGATGATTCTGCATTTTTTTGAAATGTTAGTTTGATAAGGTAACAATAAATTTTAAAATATTTGGTAATCATTTTCTCGGGCTAACGTGTGAGGTAAGAGGTAAATTAGAGGGTTTGATCCATTAAAACTTTTAATTTAAGTGTTTGGTGCAGTTTAATTAATAATACTTTAGTCCAAAATGCAAATTTCAAAAAATCAAAATATGATTATTATGGAATAGAGGATGTAAATTATGCATTTTAAGGCAAAATTTTCATTCAATTACACTATTAGCTAATTCAATCAACCAATTGCTAGGTGTCAAACCTAACATGAATCAATTTAATTGGAATATATTTTTCAAGCATTCTGCTATTAGTAAGACAATTTGCATTCTCCCTAATTTTAAAATTGGATAGTTTTGCTCGACAACAGAAATAAGAATCTCTGAGGAGTATTAATTTAGGATTTGTTTATCTTAATTTGGAGTTTTAGCAGGATTAGTGTTGGCCGATTTTAGGACAGATAATTATTAATTATTGATAAAAACAAGAGAATATGTAAATTTTTGTTTAAGGTAATGATTACCAGCTTTTGTTTGGTACGAATGCTATGTTATCTCGTGATTATATATCGAGATTAGGTCGTGATTAGAGGTCGTTTGAAGGTTTGACCAATTGACCCGTCTACTTAAACACGACGTTTGTTTAGTGAATGCCAGCCTGTCCCCAGCAAGTAAAAAGCGTGTGTCTCGTTAAGCAAAACGCTGTCACACAGCAAACCAATCATAATTCATAATCGTTGAAAACAACATAAAACAAAAAATTGAAAAACTTTCAGAAAACCATCGAAGCTCGCTGCCAATGGCGACGACGAAAACCCTCTCCCTCTCCTCATCTCCCTCCTCTCATCCGCGTCCGCCTTTTCCCCGACCGACAACCAGCTCGTCAACTGAGATTCACGCGCCGCCGTGACGCGGGACTTAGATCGCCGGGCGTTCGCAGGCGCGACTTTCGGATTTCTCACCTCGACGGCGGACGATAACGATCGAGAGCTCTGATCCAGCTCAGTTACCGTCTTTCCCACTCTAAGCCACTGTGGGAGCCTTCGATCGGCCCGCGCACTACGTTTTCCCGATCGGAGACCGCCGGGAACACTCACCACCTGGTATGCCTCCACTTCACACCCGCTTGAAAACGATTCACACAATTTGTATGAGACTGAATTTTATGTCATGGTCGACGGATTCTTGCTTTTTGCGCAATTTATCGTATCCCCCAAACCGACGATTTCTCGGTGACTAAGGAGATCCCGATCTCGATAGCCACCACCGATGAGCTGAAAATTACGTTTTTGCCCTCGGAGAAATAAAAGATCGGTTTCGTGAGTGCCATTGAGGCGATCTCTTGCGCAGCTGGTTGATTTGGGAAAGAATGAGAGGGTTTTGATGGGTTGTTGAGACAGAGTGTACGCGGGGGGGTTCAAAGTGACGCCCTTTTCAGGTATTGCGCCTGAGACTGGAGAAGAAGGGCTCTACCATCGAACCTGGAGATCACTGGAGTCATCTACCGAGGACGTTATCACTGTGAATATGAAGGGGCAACCAAGATAATTAGATAAGTAATGGAAACATCTATCCTATTATGGAGTAGTTACCAAGGTAAAAGAAGTTCTGGAAATTTTAAAATATCAACCAGATTTTGAAAAATATCAAGTTGAACCGTCTTTCAAAATTTACAGTAACTTTTGTGGTACAGAATTCACAATCTCATTCATCTAGAAGTTTCATTTTGCAATTTCGTGAAGAAGTATTCTAGAAATTGTTATATTAGGAAGTTACCAAGTAAACCCAGTTTTTCTTGATGGAATTTACTTCAATAAACCTAGCATACTCAAGATGAACAACTGCAGAGGTCCGAGATACAACGTGATTCACATGGTTGGACACATCAACACCTTGAATTCCATTTGCAAAGGTCCGAGATACTCATGTGCTTTTGTTAGGTACACGAGTAAAATAAGTGTCATATATAGTCCATGTTATTTTACATAAATAAATAAATAAGTATGTATCCTGTGTAATTTATGAGTGTGTTTTGTAAGTACATCAAGCTAATTCATAATTTATTTAGTTAGTTTGTTAGTTCTTTTATATTCAAACAGGTTTGGCTTGATATGACGGTTTCTTTTCAAAATATTTTCAGCTTATCACATAAATTTCTCTTATCCGTTAATTTTACCAAACAGTTCATAATATCAACTACATTTTCAACCATCAACTAAAAAGCTCATAATGATAATTTACTTATGAATTTCATTCTTTTTTTTTTTTCATCTTCAAACAATGTGCAGTTTATGGTACATATTTGCATGCGCTTTATCATTCCTTTTCCCTTGTGTTCTTGGTGAAATACGAACCAGTTTGCAAAATTCAACACATTCATATGGGAGAATGACGGATAGAAGTGAAAGATATAGGGAATCGATACAAAAGCACCCAAATCCATAATGAATGCGAAAGAATACAAAGTCTAAACCAAGCTATCCATCATTTACTTTGCACAGTTCTTAGCTCAACTAAACACAACATTTACTGTGATTGCAATTTGCAAAGGTTACCCCATAATTCTCAATACCGTCAATACTTTATGTACTCAAAAGAATTAGCTATACACGGAAGGCCGGACTTACACAATAAAAAAGAAACACACGACGTACCATAGAAACCTTTACTGCAATTGCTCATCTTCGTATATCTTCACATTGCGACTCGTTATCAACAGTATCTTGTAATCTTTTCTGATGCCCCAAAGGATCCCAGCACATTGTCCCATGGCCATGGGAGGTCTGTTTTTCCAGTGTGGGGCCAAGCACTGCAAAGATAATTCGAACCTTACAATAAAAAATTAAGGGACTATATAGTCTATATAGAATTGTATGGATAAAACTAGTAATTGACGTGAGAATGAATTGACCATACAATAAAAATTACTTATATTATTCAAGATTGTTGTCATGTGTCAAAGTTGAGCTGACCAATTTGACCACGTCTTCCAAAGAGATAAGTATTTGTATTATTTACATTATTTTTATTCCAAAATTGTTGTGTCGTTGATTTTTTTTTTTTATAATATAGCATACTTTATAACCTTTCATGGGTACCAAATCGCATATAAGTACACACAAGCAATGCAAGGACAATATATTTCTTTAAAATTGCTTGATCCCTATAAAAATTGCTCTAAATGCATTGAGAATTAGTTTGTTTTTATTAATTGTTTATTCCTCCACCATGAACTGAAGTCAAAAACTGTGTGTGAATCCAAATCCAAAGATACTTGTCTGCCACAAACACCATCAGTCCAGATTTTTTAAAACTCTATCATCTTTACTACCCAAAAAACCCCAGACTCATCCAATCATGAACACCACATCACAAACTACAGGGTTAATTCTGTAAATTCCAGCACTTCACCTCTGTTTTCATTCTTGTCCGCAGGTGACAGCTTTTCATATAATCCCAAATTTCGAAGACCACCAAAGAGAACAAGCAAATAAAAAATCTCAAAATCAAATCACACAAAATCCCACTTTTTTCTCACGCACACAACACACACACAGCTTCATTTTGTAGCTCAGAAAAAGTGATTTTATCACCTTCAGCAAACTCCAAACATGCTATTGAACTTGCTTGCTCTGTCAAAATGCCAACGGCCTTAGCCCTCAAACTCATTCTCATTCTCCTCTTCTCATTGTTAGTTATTACAAAATCCGCGAGCCCATTTGGAAATTATGCAGATTTCTCCAAGAAAACCCCCAATTCAACTGAGCCCAGGTCAGAAGGGAGCAAAAAGGTGGAGCCTTTCGAAAACTCCCAGGTTCTACTCAGAGGAAACACCTCCATCACAAGTCCAAACGGCACTTTCAAGCTCGGATTTTTCGCCCTTAATGACGAGTACAGCTGGTACTTGGGCATCTGGTACGCTTGTATCCCAATCCCTACTTACATTTGGGTCGCAAACCGTGAAAAGGCCGTCAAGAGTCTGTCGTCAGCTAGTGCCGAGATAACTGAAACTGGTAGATTCACCGTAACGGACCAAGAATCAAAAACCCTGCTGTGGGAAACGAGCAATGTCGAGAAAGCGAAGGGCTTAAGCCTGTTAGAGGAAGGGAACCTAGTTCTCTTGTCTGCCGACGGCAGAATCGTGTGGCAGAGCTTTGATTTCCCATCTGACACGTCACTTCCCGGGATGAACTTGACCGCCGGCACGATGCTCAACTCATGGAGGAGCTCGATTGATCCAAGCCCTGGACGGTATTTTCTGAGGTTAAACCCTCCCGATTATGGTGAAATCGCGCTTTACTATAGTAACGCTAGTGTTGGTATGGATAATAATCTGTACACGTATTGGACCACTGGTAACTGGAGTGGGAGTGCCTTTGCCGGTGTGCCTGAAATGACTATTCCCTACATATACAAGTTCAATTTTGTCGAGCCCTTCACTCCCATGGCAACTTTCATGTACATGGAGGTGCCTTTGGAAGTCGACACGAAACCCCCTTTGACAAGGTTTGTCTTGGACCATACGGGCCGGCTTAAGCAGTTCACTTGGTCCCAACAGAGCGGGGGTTGGAACATATTCTGGGCCCAGCCCGAAAATGTGTGCAAAGTGTACGGTTTGTGCGGTAACTTAGGAATGTGCAATGGGAACAACCAATTGAGCCCGTGCCAGTGTCTGAACGGTTTTAGTCCATCGGACGGCATTTCTTGGTTGAAGGGCGACTTTTCTAAGGGCTGCTGGCGAACGAGCCGTGAATCCTGCAGCGAGCACGACAAATTCGAAGAAATCGGGACTGTGAGCCACGAGAGAACAGCTGTCGTGTCGTTTAGCGGGAGAAGAGCCGAGTGCGAGAGCGCGTGTTTAAAAAACTGCTCCTGCATAGGTCTTTACCACAACGAGAAAAGTAACTCGTGCAGGAATCTTTACGGCCCGCTCTTGAATTTGCTTAATGTCACTTCAGATAGCAGCACGATTTCAACAGATACATTATATTTGAGAGTGCAACCGGATGACGGCGCCAGAAAAACGAGTAACAACGCGAAAATGATTCTCTCGGTCGGAATAATTTGTAGCGTTCTTGCGATTCTCTGCATCGGAATTACGAATTTATATGTTCGTCGTCAGAGGAGGAGGAGGAGTGCTCGACTGACGAGGGGCGAAGATAACGATAACGCTATTCAGGTTTCGAACCTGAGGGTATTCTCGTACAAAGAGCTCCACTCGGCCACTAAGGGATTCTCGGAGAAACTTGGTCACGGCGGGTTCGGGGCAGTCTTCAAGGGCCAGCTGGCGGACTCGTCTGCAGTGGCCGTGAAGCGTCTCGAACGGCCAGGTGGAGGCGAGAAGGAGTTCAGAGCCGAGGTCTGCACTATCGGCAGAATTCAACACGTCAATCTCGTTCGGCTGCGCGGCTTCTGCTCCGAAGCTTCTCACCGACTCCTTGTCTATGACTTCATGCCAAACGGAGCCCTCAGCACGTACCTCAGACGAGGCAACAGTAATAAAAACGGGCAACCCGTTTACCCGAACCTGAGCTGGGAGGCTCGGTTTCGGATCGCTATAGGGACTGCACGGGGGATTGCTTACCTGCATGAAGAATGCAGGAGTTGCATTATACACTGCGATATTAAACCGGAGAATATTTTACTCGACGAGGGTTTTGCGGCTCGGGTCTCGGATTTCGGGCTGGCGAAGCTCGTGGGTCGGGACTTGAGTCGTGTGGTGGCGACTATGAGGGGCACGTGGGGTTACGTGGCGCCAGAGTGGATATCGGGCGTAGCCATCACGACGAAAGCTGACGTGTACAGTTTTGGGATGACGCTTTTAGAGCTGATCGGAGGGCGGAGGAATGTTCCTCCGCCAGCTGGAGGGGAGAATAATAATAATAATAATAATGTGGCCGCGGAGGAAGGAGGGAGGTGGTTTTATCCGCCATGGGCGGCGCGGAGGATCGTGGAGGGTGACGTGGTGAATGTGGTGGACGAGAGGCTTTCGGCGGGGGAGTATGATGTGGCAGAGGCGGCGAGGATGGGGTTTACGGCAGTTTGGTGTATACAGGACGAGGAAGGGGAGAGGCCGGCCATGGGGACGGTGGTGAAGATGCTGGAAGGGGTGGTGGAGGTGGTGGTGCCGCCACTGCCGAAGCTGCTGCAGGCGCTCGTCTCCGGCGAGTCGTTTCGGGGGGTGGTGGTCGGGAGGTCGGGAGGGAGCCATGGTGCTGCTGATGTGTTGGTGTGA